AGCACTGCTCTGTCATCACACTACCTCCATCTTGCTTTATTTTCTTCTTTGCATTTGTCACACAAATATCATGTTATAAATATAAATTTGGACATCTTATTCACCATGGAGTTTTTTGCATTGATTTTTATTTCTTAAAAATAATTGCATCAAAATATTATTTATCTTGATACACAGTGTTTGGGGCACTGCCTTACATTTTGCATTCCAGAAGAGCTCCTTTCCACCTCCTACCTGGTTTTTTAAATCTTCCTCGACTGGAAAGAAAGCGCCATGCTCCAGAGCCTTTGTTGTGTTTCCTGCAGCATCTCTAGTCATCAGCAAAGGCCTGAACAAGTAGGAGCTGCTCAATGACTATTTGAGAAATGAATGAATGAAAGGAAAAGGGTATTAGCAAGTAGCTTTGATTCACCTCCTTATAAGTGCACACACAAATGGGCAACTTTCAGAGGACTGGGGTGCATCCATAGGGAAAATATAACATTTTTAAAAAGATGTTTATAAAAAACATAGTTGCCACGAAACCACAAACACAACTCCCCACCACTTGTCAAACTGGAAGATCTCTAACATGGGCTCTTCACCACTTCCAGCCTCCTGATGAAATTTGACTTAGTTGAGGTCGAGTTGCTACCACCACACCACCCACCATTTCCTCTTCCTTCCTTGGGAGGAAACCATACAGAATTCTGGGCATTAAGCAAAAATACTCAGCAAAAAGTTACCAAAAGCTAAAAAATTGTGTTTAATTTTATTTGAAAGTTTTTTTTTCAGAGGTTATCATCTTATTAATGAGTGGAAATTCACCCTGGAATCACTGTTTCAAAAAAAGGAAGGAAACACATTTAGCTCACGGCAGCATTTTTCAATATTTTACACCCAAGCGTTTTGTATTTTGTTGACAAAGGTCTTCAATTTGGATTCATCTCAGAAAAAAAAAAGGACTTTTCGTTACGTATTAGAACACGGTGAAAGACTCACTTATGAACGACTAAGTTAAGGAATATAAAGCATTAGAACAGTGCTTTAGTAGCAATGTAGTAATAATTTAATAAATATCTGCCACTGTTGTTAAGCATAAAACATAATTTTATCCACTGCAATAAAAATTTATTGTTTGCCTCCTCACAATGATCGCTCCTCTTTTTAATTTTCTGTTTTTTGAAATGAAGTTGTACTCTGTCGTCCAGATTGGAGTGTAGTGGTGTAATCATGGCTCACTGCAGCCTCGAATTCCTGAGCTCAAGAGATCCTCCCACTGTAGCCTCCCGAGTAGCTGAGACTACAGGTGTGTACTATCAGGTTCAGCTAATTTTTTTGTATTTTTTTTGTAGAGACAGCATCTTGCTTTGTTCCCCAGGCTGCTCTCAAACTCCAGGGCTCATGCAACCCTCCTGCCTTAGCCTCCCGAAGTGCTGGGATTTCAGGCATGAGCCACCAAGCCTGGCCTAATCCTTCCTTCTTCCAACAATATTCCTGACTTTTGTTAGGGGATCCTGTCAGGACACAGTTCTCCATAGGTCTCTTGCCTTTCTGCACATATTCAGAGCAGAGGCACCACTGGCATTTTGTTGTGAACTGTCTTTTAAAGGATGTTGTCTAACCATCTTCCGACAGCCTTGGAAGATAGAGATAATGTCTCCTTCCAGAGCAGAGGTCAGGTTCGTTTGTTATGCAATATATTAAAAATGAAGGCGAGGCACGATGGCTCACATCTGTAATCTCAGCAGTTTTGCAGGCTGAGGCAAGAGAATCGCTTGAGCCCAGGAGTTTGAGGCTGCAGTGAGCTGTGTTCGCACCACTGTATTCCAGCCTGGGTGACAGAGCAAGACTCTGTCTAAATATGTGTGTGTGTATATATATAAAATACATATTATATATTATATATCTCACATATAGAACATCTATATTACATATCTAACATCTGTATTGCATAGCTATAACATATATTACATATATAAATCTGTATAAAGGTGATGTCTCCCTCCGAGGCCAAGCCTGGTCAGATTTGCTCAGAGCCCTTTGTAAAAACTTGGGGATTCCTATGCTAAGGTTCCTTGGCTTTGACACAAACCTATGTGATCAGCATCCACCTGAGCCTGCCACTGCATCCCCTCCTGGGACTTGGGGGACATGGGAAATGATGTGAAGGTGAAGCAACGTTGCTTGCGATGCCAGGAGAAAGAGTCCTTTGTCTCCATGCACAAAAGAACGAACACTGCAGGCCTGACAAATATCCTTATGAAGGCCTGCCCGCGAGGTTGACCTTCGGTTGGGGCATGGAAACTTGGATTTTGGGAGGGTTCCCACCATTGCCAGAATTTATAAGAACGGCTCATTGTGCCTAAACTGTTGGTACAAACGTGATTCACACTGAACACCTGCTTTCCTTCTGGGAGTCTGGAAATTTGGTACATGCCAGACAGAGGCTTCCCACCTGATCAGCCCCCAGGAAAACCCTGGCTGCTGAGGCTCTCATGAGCTTTCTTGGTTGACAACATTTCACACATGTTGGCACAAGTGTTGCTGGGGCGGATTAAGCGTGTCCTGTGTGACTCCACTGGGGGAAAACTCTCGGAAGCTTGTGCCTGGTCTCCCCTAGATTTCACCCCAGGTACCTCTTCCCCTTGCTGATCTTACTTTGCATCTGTTCAATATAGTAAGTCACAGCTGTGAGTATGACTCTATTCTGAGTCCTGTGAATTTTCCTAGGGACTCATTGGACCTGGAGGTGGTCTTGGGGACCACTGACAGAGTCTCTGATCCCAGAATCTCATGTCTTCTGCCTGCATCCACGAAATGGTGACAGGCTAACTTGTTAATTTCAGAGATGAAATCTCAGGCCCATCACAATGCTTGAAAGACCAATCCCGTTACCTCTCAGGACATATGGGAGAGTGTGTGTGGGGTGGGTGGGAATTCCAGATCTAAATGAACCTCGGTGTTCCATGCCCTGCTTACCATGGAGCTTTCGGGAGCAGGCACCTGATCTAAGCCAATCCAAGCCTAATGAAGGTCTTTTCTTCTCCTCTGGCCAAGAAGCAAGAAGAGTGTAACCTGGAAAAACCACCTTGCAATCATGGGGGTTAACCCAGAGCAAGTGGGGCCGAGAAACTGGTCCTGGATGACACTGTTGGAGCCCCTGAAACCAGCCAGCCGTGCGGCTAGTTTGCCCCTGGATGATTTTAAGATCTATGAGTTAATAAATTTCCTTTACTGCTTAAGACAGATTGGATATGATTTTCTATCCCTTGTAAGAGGAGTCCTAACTGATGCAGATCATGGCTGTTCAAAGAATAGGCCCCCTGGAGGGCCTCTGTCCAATTGTAGAGAACTAAGCCTCACAAAGAAGGGATCCTTCTTTTAAGGACCCTGAGACTAACTCAATAAAAATATTGAGAATGTTGACAGTGTTGACATATTGAAAATATTGAACAATATTGAACACTGAAAATATTGAACAAATATTGAAAATGTTGACAGTCTCCAGCAGTCAACATTTTACAAGCGCCTACCAAGGAAAGAGTAGCAGATAGCAGTAGGACTTGGTATCATTTCAGGTGACTTACAGCCTGGAGATGTTCTTCCAAGCTGTAGAGGTGTTTGTGCGCCTGGGAGACCCAGACCTTCACTTAAAATGAAGTGATGATGTAACCATGGCAACGTGAGCTGAGGACTCAGCTACAAGGAAAGGAAGAGGAGGTGGTTTGAGTTGAGGGGATGTCCGCGCCACTTTCATATCTGTACCCAATGATGAGCATCCTGTCCACACCACGCCTTCCTGTCTGCACCACCACAGGTGATAGCTTTGTTTTCTAGTACCAATCCGGTGCCTAACAGCATGGCCTCTACCCCATCTCCCTGCAGACTTCAGGGAGAAGCACTGGAATGACAAAAGTAAACATTGGAGGCTTCACTTGGGTGACAGAGACTTTTCCAAAAAAAAGAATGCTGCAAATGATGTTTAAAGTCATGATTGTATTTAATATTATTAGGATGATGCAAAGGCAATTGTGGTTTTTGCCATTACTTTCCATGGCAAAAGCTGCAATTACTTTTGCACCAACCAATATACATTGTAACAGATTTGAGACAAAATATAAAATTTTTCAAACTGAGCAGAATTTATCAACCCAGAATCTGTGATGAATGAAATAAATTAATAGAGAACCCAACAGATCATGTTATGTTGTAAATATAACATCTATCTTTAGGTTAAAGTAACATAGCAAAAATATATATGGGTGCAAGACACATACATAATTTGTACCAATCTCACAGAACTAATTCAATTCAAAACAACAAAAAAACTTACTCTATTTTCTAATGAACGCAATAAAAATTAACCATTTCAAAACAATTTCTCTTGTGCCTCGCCAACTTACATTTTTCCTGGCACCTGCTATACTGTGTATGTATTTCTTCATCACTTTACTGTCTGACTCCCCTACTAGATTGTAGGTTCCAAGAGGGCAAGGTCTCTGATACACTATTATGTCTCCAGCACCTAGAACTTGGCATGTAGTAGGCATTCAATAAATAAATGTTAAATGAGTGAATTTAAAACACATACATGCCGGGAATGGTGGCTCACGCCTGTAATCCCAGCACTTTGGGAGGCCAAGGCGGGGGATGGCCTGAGGTCAGGAGAACCAGACCAGCCTGGTTAACATGGTGGAAACCCATCTCTACTAAAAATACAAAAATTAGCTCTTCCTTTCTCTGCCATTGTGGTGTGTGCTTGACTCCGCTTCTTGCCATGTCTTCTCATAAGACTTTCTGGATTGTGATTCCTGACCAAGAAGCGAACACAAAATCGCCCCACTCCCCAGTGGATTTGGATGAAAACTGGTAATAAAATCAAGTACAACTCCAAAAGGAGACATTGGAGAAGAACCAAGCTGGGCCTATAAGGAATTGCACATGAGACGGCACACACATCTATGCTGTCTGAAGGTCACAATCATGTTACCACATCAAGGTGAAAATGTCACCACTCTCTGGAGAGTTGTACATGTTTTATTGGGAATATATTTTTTCTCTCTGAATCTGTTATGAATGCATTGGTTGGCTGGGTTCAGTAATAAATATGTGAGACTTTTCATTAAAAAAAAAAACAAATACAAAGATTAGCTGGGCATGGTGGTGCATGCCTGTAGTCCCAGCTACTCTGGAGGCTGAGGCAGGAGAAATGCTTCAACTCGGTAGGCAGACGTTGCAGTGAGCTGAGATGGCGCCACTGCCCTCCGGCCTGTGTGACAGAGTGAGACTGTGTCTCAAAAAACAAACAAACAAAACATGCACACATTTAATTAATCAACATAAAATATTATTTCTACGAAGTCACTTCAAGCTGATACTGCATACTCCATATATGCTAAAGTTCACAAGGTCTTTACCTCATATCTGTCTCTCTTTCCTGACCCCCTGTGGGGTAAGTCAATGCCCCGGGGTTGCTTAGCCACTTGGTACTACCAGCTTTGGGTCTTTGGGTACCAGGTCTGTTTCAGCTGATCGGTGTATACCCCGGCTGGCTTTTCCCATAGGACAGAGTTGCACAAGTTGTGGGTGTGAAGCTGAGAGGTGAGCAGAGGAGGAAGGGAGGTAGAGAGTCCTCATCCCAATGTCCCTCTGAACTGCCGCGTGTGTCGCTCCAGCTTCTCAGCCTCCGCCTGGAGGTGCCCCAGCGCGGCAGGGCTGGGGTAGGTGAGCACGGCATTCTTAGTGGCCAGCGCTACGTCCTTCAGCAGGCTGCAGAGGTGACTGCTGCCGCGGAGGATCTCGTTGCGCACGTCCCTCTCCTGGGTCTCCGTGCACAGTGTGTCCACCAGCTTCTGGCCCACCGTGATGACCAGCTTGCTCTGAGTGATGATCTCCGCAGGCTGGCTGCTGCTGAGGCTGCCATGAAATGTGCTGATGGCTTTGAAGAGCGCCCCAAAGTAGAGCCGGCAGTGTTCAGAGAGGTGGTGTTTCCTCTCAGGAGTCTGTTGACTCGAAGGCTGGGGTGTAAGAGGGCCAGGATTCTAAAGAAGGGAAGGAAGAATATAGATAGGAGACTCAATCAATGGGCTGTGGCTGTGTGTCCTTTCCTGTTTTGGCTAGATTTGCAAGACCTTTTATTTTTTTAAAGAAAGCATGGTTTGGTTTGGGAAGCCCAATACTGCAACAGTTATCTAACAAATTAATGTTTTCAAAGCACTGTAACATATAATATATACAATCTTATATTGTAATACATACATATAATTTTATTCGATCATCTCAATAAACCAACCATAAGAAACCCATTTTAAGAAACACATTGGCAATAACCATAACTTTTCTTTTTTTTTTTTTTTGAGACAGAGTCTTGCTTTGTCTTCCAGGCTGGAGTGCAGTGGTATGATCTCGGCTCACTGCAACCTCTGCCTTCTGGGTTCAAGCAATTCTCCTGCCTCAGCCTCCTGAGTAGCTGGGTTTACAGGCACCTGCCACCATGCCCGGCTAATTTTTGTATTTTTAGTAGAGACAGGGTTTCACCATGTTGACCAGACTGGTTTTGAACTCCTGATCTCAAATGATCCGCCCACCTCAGCCTCCTAAAGTGCTGGGATTACAGGTGTGAACCACTGTGCCCAGCTAAATTTTTAACTTTTAAAAATGCAGGAAAACTTGTTGGTGAGTTTTAAAATGTTCTCAAAGAACAGATTTAAAAACATTTAAAAATCCAAAAATCCTCTCTGATTTCAGTATCAGAGGTATACCAGAACCCCCAACATTTCCAGAAGAAACCAAAAACCCTGACCTATCTGCCTTAATATTATTATTATTTTTTGCCTTGTTATTAAAACATTTATCATATTTGCTAATAAGGTTTCATCAACATTTTACATTCATGAATTTTATTTTGTGGAAAATGGAACTAACGTCTCCCAAATCCTATATACTCTCAGAGATTTTCAGTACCTAACTTAGTGGCCACAACTCCAGGTAACAATTGAAAGGTGAAGCAAGAAAAGGCTGCCTCTGGCCATTCCATTAGCACATCAGAGATCTGGAGCTCTGGGTCTGAAACTCGCTTTCTTTCCATTAAATTTCACACTCTTGCATTTACCTATTATCTCAAAATTCACAGGCCGGAAGCATTTAGACAGATATGGCATAAAACTGATTTTTTTCAGGAGGGGGTTATGTCTCCAGGGGCCGGTAGGGTTGGAGGGGAAGTTAGACAAGGAGGAGGAAAGCATACTTCAAAGAAGCACGTTCATTATTAGAATTGCATATTTGGAAAATGAAAACAATGATTGTCTTTGTCATAGAAAGTGAAGGCAAGATTGAGATGTCAGTTCAGATGAACTCTTGGAAGCAGGGAGTGTAAGAATGAAGCAGGTTGAGTGCAGTGACCCACGCCTGAAATCCTAGCCCTTTGGGAGGCCGAGGCAGGAGGATCGCTTAACCCTAGGAGTTCGAGACTAGCCTTGGCGACATATGAAACTCTGTCTCTACCAAAAACAAAACAAAACAAAACAAAAATTAGCTGGGTATGGCGGTGTGGGCCTGTGGTCTCAGCTACTTGGGAGGCTGAGGTGTGAGAATCGATTGAACCTGGGTGGTGGAGGCTGCAGTGAGCCATGATCTCACCACTGCACTACAGCCTCAGCAATAGAGCAAAACCCTGTCTCAAAAAAAAAAAAAAAAAAAAAGGAAGGTAGCTGGGCACGGTGACTCACACCTGTAATTCCAGCACTTTGGGAGGCTGAGGCAGGAGGGTTACTTGAGGTCAGGAGTTCGAGATGAGCCTTGCCAACATGATGACTCTCGTCTCTACTAAAAACACAAAAATCAGCCAGGCATGGTGGTGCGCACCTGTAGTCCCAGCTACTGAGGTTGAGGCAGGAGATTGAACCTGGGTGGTGGAGGCTGCAGTGAGCCATGATCTCACCACTGCACTACAGCCTCAGCAATAGAGCAAAACCCTGTCTCAAAAAAAAAAAAAAAAAAAGAAGAAGAAATAATGAGAAGTAATGAGGTAGACATCAGATTATGAGCATCGTAAGTGAAAATATTAACTGTAGGGAGGTGAAAAATGTACTATGATTCTTAACTTGGGGTGCTGGAAATGTGTAGAGATAGTTTTGATTAGTGCATTGACTAGGGACTTCTATAGGCAGTGAGCGGGCAGGATTCTGGGATGCTGAATAGTTCATCCCACGCAACGGAGAACTGTCCACCCAGTGGCCAACGGTGCCATGGACCTCCACTGAGAAGTGCTGTCACTCTAAAGCGGGGGCTTTCTAAGTGAGGTCCTTGGACCAGAAGCATCAACATCACCTGCAAACTTGCTAGAAAATGTGCATTACTATGCTCCACCCCAGACCTACTAGATCAAAAATTCTGAGAGTGGGGCCCAGCCATGCAGGTTTTTTTTGTTTATTTGTTTTCTTGAGACAGAGTCTTGTTCTCGTTGCCCAGGTTGGAGTGCAGTGGCACGATCTCAGCTCACTGCAACCTCCGCTTTCCTGGTTCAAGCAATTCTCCTGCCTCAGCCTCCTGAGTAGCTGGGATTACAGGTGCCCGCCACCACACCTAGCTAATTTTTTGTGTTTTTAGATACGGGGTTTTACCATGTTGGCCAGGCTGATCTCGAACTCCTCACCTCAGGTGATCCACCCACCTCAGCCTCCCAAAGTGGTGGGATTATAGGCACGAGCCACCGCGCCCGGCCAGCCATGTGAGTTTTAACAAACCTCATAGGTGATTGTGATACACTCAAATTTGAGAACCACTAATCTAAGGTGTACTTAATGTTGGACAAAATAGCATGACTGTTAGCAATATGACAGGCCCAAAGACTAGTGTTTGGGGTTTGGTGACCTGAGCATCAGGAGGCCTGAATTCTTGTCCTAGGTTGCCTCTGAGAAGGTATGTGACCTTATCCTAGTCATTGGATATCCTTTTCTTCCACCCTCTACCCCATCTGCCCTATAACCTAAGTAAGTTTCCCAAGCTTCAGTTATTCAGGGACAGCCTTTACAACCTTTACAAGTTATACTCTTTCCATTTTCCTCTTAACTTCTACTGGCTTCATTCCTTTTCTTTAAATGGACCCATTGCTTTTACTTACATTAATTTAAAGGAAACCGTGAAAAATGGTAAATGGAAAACTACTGTCATTTACCACAAATAGAAGGAAACCAATAAAAATAAGCACAATGATAACATCTTTGACTTTTTTTTTTTTTAAAGGAAGAACATCAAGTGTAAAAGAGGTGTTGAAGATATATAAGCCCCAAATCAAGATTTGCTGTTGTAATCAGAAACATTAAATCAGAATGTCAAAGAGCAGTTGAGTCAGTCCTGTTTAGCCCGGTCAGTACCACCCACAACAACCTCGCAGAGCGCCTAGAGTCATTTCATTAATGGTTAATGCTTCACTTCCATTCCCTGGGGTTCGTTCATTAGACTCACTGATCTCCAGGACTCTCTTGCTAAAATAAAGGACAAAGAATCACAAAAACTAACTCTCGCCCATGTGGGTCATGGCTGTAATGTTGAGCTTTCCATAGCATGATGAGACGAATCTAGCAATAAAGCATATGAATCAGAAGCTTTAGAGAGTGAGTGCTACAGCTTACCATGGTTCCTAAGTCTTCGTTTTCATCTAACCTTTGTTCCAAGATAGGTTTCTCTTTCTTTTCTAAGTTAGGCAATGTCTGAAAAATACAATTCCTTCAAATTACCAAATTGAGTGGCGTTTTCCACTACTGTGGAACTGGAAGTTCACTTTAGACTTGGGTATTCTTTCTCATGTTTTCTGTTGATGGTTCTGCCTACTGATTCCTTTTCTCAACCAAAGGAGACTCTGGCTGCCCAAAGGCTGAATTTTGCCTATCAACATGGCTGATATGATGACCCACACAGCTTTGTTAGCGTTATATATATGTGTTTGTCAATTTTAAACATCTAAATTTCTAGAACGTGTTAAACCTCCTACACCACCAGGCATTTCAGCAGAACACAAAGGTTGGGGCCGAAAGCACCAAATTACCTCCTTGACACAGCCCCCAAGTGACTTCTGGGTTCACAGTCCCTGAACTGAAGCATCTTGCTCTATAATGTCTGAACTCATCCAGAAAAGTATTTCTTTCTGTCTTGTCTTTTATTTGTTCTTGAGACAGAGTCCCGCTCTGTGGTCCAGGCTGAAGTGCAGTGGTACAATCTCAGCTCACTGCAACCTCCGCCTCCTGGGTTCAAGTGATTCTCCCTCCTCAGCCTCCTGAGTAGCTGGGATTACAGGTGCATTCCACCATGCCCAGCTAATTTTTGTACTTTTAGTAGAGATGGGGTTTCACCATGTTGGCCAGGCTGATCTCAAACTCCTGACTTCAAGTGATCTGCTCGCCTTGGCCTCCCAAAGTACTGAGTTTACAGGGGTAAGCCACCATACCCCACCTCTTTTTTTTTTCTTTTCCTTTTTTAGAGATAAGCTCTTTCTCTGTCACCAAGGCGGAGGTGCAGTGGCGCCATCATAGCTCTCGGTTACCCCAAACTGCTGGTCTCAAGGGATACCCCTACTCAGCCCCCCAAGTGCATGAGCCACCACACCTGGATATTTAAAACTAAATTTTTTACAGCTGGGGTCTCACTCACTATGCTGCCCAGGCTGGTCTCAAACTCCTGCCTCAAGGAATGGATCCTCCTGTGTTGGCCTCCTAAAGTGTTGGAAATTACAGGCATGAGCCACCACACCCCGCCTCAGAAAAGTATTTCTAAGAGTAGCTAAAGTCTGGAGGCTGATCAGATGGTGAGCAATTTGAAAGAATGTTTCTACTTCCTCTTCCGTTGCTAAGAAACACACTGACAATGACTAAATTTATAACTTTCAAAAATGCAAGGAGACTCGGTGGTGAGGTTTTAAAAATCTACTCGAATAGTAGATTTTAAAGAAAGTTGAAAAACCCCTTTTAATTCTAATATCATGGTAAACTTGAACCCCAAAAGTTTTCAGAAGAAATCCAAATCAACTGACCTATCTGCCTATGCTGCCCTATCTTTATCTGACTTGTTAATAAGATTTCATCAAGAATTTTACTTTCGGCTGGGCGCGGTGGCTCAAGCCTGTAATCCCAGCACTTTGGGAGGCCGAGACGGGCGGATGACGAGGTCAGAAGATCAAGACCATCCTGGCTAACACGGTGAAACCCCGTCTCTACTAAAAAATACAAAAAACTAGCCGGGTGAGGTGGCGGGCGCCTGTAGTCCCAGCTACTCGGGAGGCTGAGGCAGGAGAATGGCGTAAACCCAGGAGGTGGAGCTTGCAGTGAGCTGAGATCGCGCCACTGCACTCCAGCCTGGGCGACAGAGCAAGACTCCGTCTCAAAAAAAAAAAAAAAAAGAATTTTACTTTCACAAATTTTATTTTCTGGAAGATGGAACCAGTGTCTCCCCAAAGCCTATACTCTATCAAAAGAATCTCAGCATCTTAGTAGCCACTGCTCGAGGTAACAATTGAAGCCCCTCTTTCGATCGCTTGGAACTCTGAACTCACCTGTCCACAGATATTTGCTCTATTTTTCTTTAACAGTTCGGAAGAGTGTTCATCTTCCCTTTGCTTAGTGGAAGGGGTACTCTTTTGGTGTGATTCAGTTTCTCTTTGGGGAGGCTGGATGCATTTGTCACACTTAAATTCTGCATTTGGGGTCAATTGCACGGTCTCTTCCTTTTCACAGTTCTGCTTAAAAAGGAGCCTTCCGTTGGCAATGACAATGGAGGCAAACCTCTTGATGTCTTCTGGAAGCATCCGTGCCACCATGACAAACCTCTCAAGGTCATCTGGGCTGTTCTGGACATTGTCAGTCACAAGAACTTCCAGAGGCCAATTGCGATTATCCAAGCTTTCCTTTGTTTCAAGCAGGATGCGGTAGGAGTTAGAGATTGTCTGCATCTGGTCCCGAATTCTGTTCTGAAGGTTACTGTCAGTGAGGTTACAGGCAGTCCCATGGACTCCTCGGGCAAAATCCAGAAATTCTCTTACAGATTCTTCTATGTGCTCAGTGGACCTGTGGATTGCATCAATGTTGGCCTCCAGATAGTCTCGGAATCTCCACTTCCTACTGACAAACAGCATCAGGCCAGCAACAGAGCTGACCACCTTGTGCTGCAGAGACATCACTGTCTCCTTGGCCACATCCAGGTCCAAGGAGAGCTCCTTTGCTGACTCCTCCGAGGAAGAGCTGGAGGAGGAGTCGGTGGATGTGGTGGAGCACGAAGAAACGACGCTGGCTCTGCTGTCAGAACTGGAACCTGATAATCTGTCCAGTTCAGGAGATCGGGAAGCTGTCCGTCTGGAGAACCATGAGGAATTATGGCCCGTGGAATTCTCTGACACCTCCTTGGCTTTCGCCAGCTCCTTCCCAGCCTGAGAAACACTCGATATTGCTTTAGGGATGTCATAAATATTGGGCTTGGTGTTCTGCTGTTCCACTCGGGGAATCAGAAAGCTTGAAGGAACCTTGTAGCTGACATCTTCATCCAAAGGAAATGTGTCTCTGGGTACAAGAAAGCCATAAGAAGGAATTTCTGGAAGACTGAGTTTTTTCTGCATGGGCACATTGGTATTCAGTTGTGGAGTGAGGGACCTGGCTCTGCCACTTGGAGGATTGTGGAAAGTGGAGCTGGAACTAGGGAGAGCGTGGGGCCTTGATTCTTCTGCAAAGGTGGGGAGAGGCGTGTTTCTGACGCTGGCCTTTCCTGGAGACACTGGAGTGTCATAAACCCATTCCGATTTCTGAGGACTTGGTAATGTGCTGTAGCCGCCTTTTCTTAAGGTAGTCACTGATATCAGGGGAACACCCTGCCCCTGTGGAAGAACCACACATAGTTGCCCGGGTTAGTAGCTTTCAAAAGAAGGTACGAGTGCCTCGTTTAAATCTCATCGTCACTTCCCCGCTCAAGTTCCTTCAGTGGCTCCCCATTTCCACTCAAGGTCCTTCACAATTCTTTTGAGCCTCATTTCTTTCCACTTCCACCACGCTGACCCCACCTTGACTGCCACCATCTACTTACAGGTCCAGCCACCCAAGCTGTTTACTTTTCCCTGAACTCAGAACACTGACTCGTGCCACTGTATTTCATTTTACCCAAACTGGTTTCTCTGCTCTAAAAGCCCTTGCAACCCTTTCTTTTCCATCCACCAAACTCCTATGCATCCCCCTGACACGGCTAAAATGCCAGCTTTCTTGTAAGATGTTCCCTAATGACCTTGGGTGTAAGTGTGTCTGTGGGACACATGTGGTAGAATCTGATTATAAACATAGATCACACAGATTTCAAATAAAGTCATTCGCCCAATACAGATAAAAGTGTACTGTATCACAGCACGCCCCTGAGGTCTGTCATAATAAGAAGCCATTACACAATTTTGCTCTGTGCCAGGCACTGTCCCAGGTCCTTTGCAGGATTATCTTTCTTAATACTCTCAGCCCATAAAAACAGAGAATTTAAAAGACTTATCCCAAACCACATAATTAGTCCTATTCCTGAACACAAACTCAATGAGAGGTTTTACCTCAAATGCAGTAAGGTCTCTGTTATGAGGAATTTGCATTCTAATTTTTGACCAAGCTAATAACATCTTTTTTTCTTTTTTTTTTTTTTTACTTTTATATTTTAGTAGAGACAGGGTTTCACCATGTTGGCCAGGCTGGTCTTGAACTCCTGACCTCGAGTGATCCACCCACCTCAGCCTCCCAAAGTGCTGGGATTACAGGCGCCTGCTACCACGCCTGGCCAACATTTGTGTTTTTAGTAGAGATAGGGTTTCGCCACGTTGGCCAGGCTGGTCTCAAACTCCTGACCCCAGGTGATCCACTCGCCTCAGTCTCTCAAAGTGCTGGGATTACAGGCTTGAGCCACTGCACCTGGCCCCAAGCTAATAACATTTCTGAGAGGATTTTTATGTGTTCATGACACCGCACCTTAGCACCTCTTCATACTTACACTTGCTTGGCCGGCTGGGGGATGGAGTCCTGCCTTCTTGGGGCTGGCTGGTATGTCGTATAGCTGCTGCTTCTCTGGCTCCTGGGGAAAGACCACAAAGGCAGACCACTTGACTGTTTCTTTCCTAATGGCTACACATCACGAACGCCGCCTATTCCAGTGTTTTTTCCCAAAGGAAGACACAAATTCCCGAAGACTTTTTGGTGCTTTTGGTCATGATGCTCTACTGGTGGAAATCTAGGTGATGGGTCCCCAACCTTCCTCGTCTGAGGCAGTGCAGGGGACATTACAGTCCTAAGTTCTTCTCATAACAGGGTATACATTCAACATTGGACTTTGTGCTTTAAGAAGAGACTTCTCGGCTGGGCGCAGTGGCTCACGCCTATAATCCCAACACTTGGGGAGGCTGAGGCGGGCGGATCACCTGAGGTCGGGAGTTCGAGACCAGCCTGGCCAACATGGTGAAACCCTGTCTCTACTAAAATATAAAAGTTAAAAAAAAAAAAAAAGATGTTACTAGCTCGGTCAAAAATGAGCCTGGCCAACATGGAGAAACGCTGTCTCTGTTGAAAATACAAAATTAGCCTGGCGTGGTGGCGCATGCCTGTAATCCCAGCTACTTGGGAAGCTGAGGCAGGAGAATTGCTTGAACCCGGGAGGTGGAGGTTGCGGTAGGCCGAGATCGCACCATTGCACTCCAGCCTGGGCAACAGGAGCGGAACTCCGTCTCAAAAAAAAAGACTTCTCAACCAAAGGTTGCAGGGGGAGGGGGGGCGCGGGGCAGGGGCAACAGAGCCTAATTTAAGCAGTTGCCTAAATTAAAAATGGTAATTTATCTTAAGTTCATCTTAAAATTAAGCCAGAGGATAAATGAGATTGAGACCCAGTATGTCTTTTTTCTTTTTCTCAGTAGAAATTTTCCTGTGTTTATCACTCATATGTATTCTGCAAATATTTAATGAGTGCCCACTAATGACCAGACACTAAGCTGGATGACACTGTGCACATCACGAGAGCAATAGAAACAGGGTGTGAGAGACTCATTTGATAAATGTGCATCTTAGCAATGACCTAAGTGCCAGGCGTGGTGCTTCCTAAAAATCTGATTGTCACTCCCCTGCTCAAACTCCTTCAGTGGCTTGAGATATGTATATGATATAACATATTATATATATAACGTGTACAGTAATTACAAAACATATATATTAGGATACAAAAAACAGGTTACAAATTCCAAAGCAAGGCAAGAGAGCACCAAAACAGGTTTTGCAAATAAAGAGAGAAATAGTTGGACACTGGAAGGTTTCTTTAGAGGGAGTTGGGCTATGAGTCTCCTGAGGGCTCTCCTCGGCTGGGAAATGGGGTGCAGTGTAGTGGGGGTTGCCTTTCACTCCCCAAAAACAAACCACCAAGTGCTCCCATGGGATCATTCAATGACTTGAGTTGTCTCCCCTGAGCTTGGGGTCACAGTGGACGGGGGCTGACTCTGGCTTGGGAAAGGTGAAGAGAGAGGGTGGCAGCCATGCCCTGGATGGCCAGTTCTCAGGGTCAGAGTGGCACCGTGCTGTGGTTGGCCTGTTCTCAGGGTCAGGACCAGGGGGAGGAGAGCAAAGCAGTTACCTTGGGCACAACATTAAGAGGGCACCAAAAAAATTCAGTCATCAAGGTAAATACCATTTAAAATGCAATATTTTAAAAAATCATAATGCAAAAAAATCATGAACAAAATGTCACACTTTTACATAAAGACAGGGTCTAGTGGGGCTGGGATTAGGGCAAGGTGAGTGAAGTGAGTCATACAAGTGTGTCTTCATTGATCACTTTTGTTTGTTTTTTTGAGACAGAGTCTCACTCTGTGGCCCAGGCTGGAGTGCAGTGGCCAGATCTCAGCTCACTGCAAGCTCCGCCTCCCGGGTTCACGCCATTCTCCTGCCTTCAGCCTCCCATGTAGCTGGGATTACAGGTGCCCGCCACCATGCCCAGCTAATTTTTGTATTTTTAGTAGAGAAAGGGTTTCGCCATGTTGGCCAGGCTGGTCTCAAACTCATCTGACCTTAGATGATCCTCCCGCCTCAGCCTCCCAAAGTGCTCGGATTACAGGCGTGAGCCCCCGCGCCCGGCCCATTGATAACTTTTGCACCCAAAGCAAGCGCCTGTGTTCCTGGAGTCTATCATGGCAAAGGGAGCTTGTGTGTTTGTCATGGACCGGGCATGGCTCACACAAGAGCTGGAGCAAGAGCCAGGGAGGAATGGCTCGGGGAATCTCAGGAGGATGTGGCTGGATGTGGAGGATGTGACCTGCTTGCCCCAGAGCTAAGGGGGGAGCCAGCAGCCAGAGGAGGCGCATTTGTCCACTTGGAGGGACTTGCAGGTAAGAGATGCTCAGCAAGGAAGTGAGGGGTAGGAGGTGGGGGGCAGAGGACATGGCACTTACACGAATGCCCCAGAAGAGAAAGAATCAGCTTGCCACACTGGCCACTGCTATTAGCACCCCTGCCAACAGAACCAGGTGAGCAGGGCCTTTCTCCCTGCCTGCCTCTTGCAGCCCTGCAGGAGTCTGAGACCATCCAGTGAGTGAGAAAGGGTAGAAAACTGAGATGGCGAAACAGCAGATAACTTAGCAGGCAGGCCCAAGCCGGGCAGCAGGAGCTTTGGCTTTAAATGAACTAGAAAGTTTGATTATTGCCTAGACAATTAAAGTCCTCAACTGACCTGGCGAGGCTAAAGTGACCTTTTTTCAAATTTTTGATTTTTTTTTTTTTCAGACAGAGTCTTGCTCTGTCATCCAGATTGGAACGCAGTGGTGTGATCTCGGCTCATTGTAACCTCCACCTCCCGGGTTCAAATGATTCTCCCGCCTCAGCCTCCCTACTAGCTGGGACTACAGGCATGAACCACCATGCCCAGCTAATTTTTGTATTTTCAGGAGAAACGGGGTTTCACCATGTTGATGAGCTGGTCTCGAACTCCTAGCCTCAAGTGATCCTCCCGCCTTGGCCTCCCAAAGTGCTGGGATTATAGTCGTGAGCTGCTGCGCCTGGCCGCAAGTGACTTATTACCTGTGAGTGTCCAGGAAGTCACAGAGCCTGCTTGGAATTCTATTTGGACAGGAACTGTTGTTCTAAATCCTGGCTTCATAGTACAATCACCTGAGAGCTTTTAAAAATCCCGACGTTTGGGTCCCACCTAGACCTGATTCCACAGTCTCTGGGGTTGGGGCACAGGCACCAGGACAGCTAAAGCTCTCAGATGCTTTCGCATTCAACAGAGGTTGGGAGCTACTGATCTCAATAGCAGATGGGTGGGGAGAACGCCACTGCAGAGCATTTGGGTGGGCTAAGAAAGGAGCAAAGCTATTTTTTGATCACATGAAGCATGTCTTACAAATTTGGTGTTCCACTTATATAAAAACAAGTTAAAAAAAAAAACAACTAAAATTTCTTTCCCCAGAGATAATCAATGTTCAGATAATCAATGATAATCCATGTTAAGACTGTGGTGCATATCCTTCAAAACATCATTTTAAAAAATGTGTTTGTGTATATGTACACACATACATACATTAAATATCTATTATAAATAATAGCTGGGCATGGTGGCTTATGCCCATAATCCCAGCACTTTGGGAGGCTGAGATGGGGGGATTGCTTGAGGCCAGGAGTTCGAGACCAGCCTGGTCAACATAGCAAGACCCCATCTCAAAAAGAAAGAGAAAAAACAATCTATTATAAATGAAAAGTAAAAATTTCAAAATATTCGGAACTCAAGTAGTCACAATGTTTTCTAGAGCAGGACTGGGCTCCATGGGTAAAAAGGAGGTTATGAAGTTGGCCTCTGAGTGGTGATGTGAATTCTGGAGGCTGAGCCCCTGGCCTCCATGGTAATGCTGAAATGCAATGTGAGTGTGAGGTCAAGAACCCCAGACTCTGGGCGCAGAGGTCTGGGTGATGCGGGGCCCCAGAACAAGGCTCACCTTCAGGACCATGGGGCCCCGGTGCTGGGTAGGCACATCGTACACCTGGGAAGGCAGAGTCGGCAGTGAGGCCCGGGTAGGTCTGGGAAGCGTGATGATGGCCTTGGAGAGAAAGGAGGAGAGCAGAGGAAAAGGAAATGTCACTCTGATGATCACAATCAGGTTCAAAGTCATCTCCCCAAAAGCAGAGACAGGTGGGTGGACACTGCTGAGGGAGTCACCTGGCACCCCCGATGGCAGGCTCTTCACTCTCAAGACAGCAGGGTACGGGTGGGAGGCTCCCTGGTGGAGGCAGCCTTCCTCGCAGGTGGCCCGCGATCTCCTGCATCTGCCTCACCTGGGAAGTTCACCGGAAGCAGGTTAACATGCATATTCTTGGGCCCATGCGGGTTGGACGGAGTCTCTGGGTGTTGAGTGGGGGCCAGGAACCTGCAGTGTTAACAAGCTTGCCAGGTGATTCTGATGTTCTCTAGCGACCAGGAGGCTGTGACTCTGATACTGGGCTATTCATCTGCATTCATCAAGCGAGGCTGAGGCTGGAGACGTGCATGCAATAGGCAGAGGGGACCTTAAGAATGTAAGGTGGAGGGACCAACAAGGTCTGGGAGGAAACTGCGGCCTGAAAGCTGTCTAAGGACTCGTCACCTGGGCTGAGGAAGGGAAGCAGGAGGTGACCAGATGAGCTGCAGCTGGCAGCTTTTGCTGGCAGCAGTGGGAGGCAGAAGAGAACCTGGCAACGTGAAAGTGATGGAGAGGAGTGAGGGAGGGGAGGAGGGAGGGATGGAACGGGAAAGGTTAACAGGGAGCAGGTCAGTTAAGGAGTTTGAATTTTATCCTACAAAGGATGGGATTGACCATCCAATTTATATATGTATACCTTTTTTTTTTTTTTTTTAGGTGGAGTTTCACTCCTGTTGCCCAGGCTGGAGTGCAATGGCGTGATCTCAGCTCACTGCAACCTCTGCCTCCTGGGTTCAAGAGATCCTCTTGCCTCAGCCTCCCGAGTAGCTGGGACTACAGGCACGCACCACCACGCCAGGCTAATTTTGTGTTTTTAGTAGAGACAAGGTTTCACCGTATTGGTCAGGCTGGTCTTGAACTCCCGACCTTAGGTGATCCGCCCACCTTGGCATCCCAAAGTGCTGGGATTACAGGCATGAGCCACTGCGTTCGGCCCCAATTTATATTTTATTGAGAGCACTTGGCCAGTTATTGCTCAAGCCATTTTGGGAAACATGGTCTCAGCCATGGAGCCTGGGTCTGTGAATGGGAATTTCAGATTCAAGTTAGTCCTCCAGAGCTCAATGATGTTGGCTCAATGGTGGGTACCACACTGGGTGCCACAGAGCAGCTTCCGAACCCAGCCAGGGATCCGAGTCCCCTAGGGAATTTTAAAATAATACAGCTGCCAAGGCTCCCACCCAGACCTCCTGAACTAGAACGTCTCTACAAGCGGCCTAGGAATTAGCGGTCTTTTCTAGAGTAGAGGATGCTGTTTACCCTGGGCTTAAAGTCTAAGAGGGAAATGAGGTCTGAGCACACCAAGGACACAGGCTGGGAAGCGAGACAGGGCCTGGAGGAGAGGACAGGGTGAAGCTCCGGAGTCCAGGACAGGGAGAATGTACTTCCCACCGGGGTCCCAAGGAGCTGTTGCTGAGTAGGGGGCTTTCTAAGTTGGCTCAGGGGGTGGTTAGGGTTTCAATGTGCGGAGCTGAGGGAGGGGAATGCAGGCAGAGGAGCAGTTTCTGAGGACTGGGTGTCCCGAGGATGCAGCACTGGGAATGTACGTGCTAGATTTATCTGTTTGTTTTTGGTGAGTGGATGCGTACGGCTTGGATGGTAAACATTAGCACACAGTGTAAAACCCCACCCTGCCATTCACCTGGCTAGACTCGCGGACACAGATAAAGAAGCTGCAATGCAAACAGGATGAACATTTCTTCCAAGGACACGCTGCAGCTGTCACATGTCAAAACAGCCCTCTTCGTTGAGTGACGACTGCTTTCTTACTCCCTGAGAAACTTGGTTCCCTAAAATCCTAGGCTCTGGAAGCACAGCTCTCCAAAGTGCTATCAGTAAGAATGAAACATCCCACTCTCGCCTGGGGGATCCGAGTCATTGACAGAGAAGCAGCCTTGATTCCCAGGCCCTCATGTAGCACCTCAGACAAGGGGTTTCCGGGCCCAGCACTTCCCATCTATCTCCGCTTGCTTTGTGGTTCCCCAGGGGAGAGTGGCCCTCGTCCAGCCTGCACACTGCCCTATTTTGCCCAGAGCCTATCAAGACACAGCTTCGCTTAGGTTTCACCTAAATCCCGCCTTTCCCCATCCCATCAAGATGCTGTTTTCCTGTTTGTGAGCTGTCTCGTGGTTCCTCTGCTCTGTGATCTTCTTTAGGCTCAGTAAACCTGACTTTGTTCCTGGTGGTCTCGGGCTGATTGGTCTAGGTGGACAAGCCCATCAGTGGTTTCCCATTGCATTTTGAATGAAATCCAAGCTTTTTTTTTTTTTTTTTTGGAGACGTAGTCTCACTCTGTCATCTAAGCTAGAGTGCAGTGGTGCCATTTTGGCTCACTACCACGTCCACCTCTCGGGTTCAAGTGATTCTCCTGCCTCAGACTCCCGAGTAGCTGGGATTACAGGTGCCTGCCACCATGCCTGGCTACTTTTTTGTAATTTTAGTAGAGACAGGATTTCACCATGTTGGCCAGGCTGGTTTTGAACTCCTGACCTCAAGTGATCCACCTGCCTCAGCCTCCCAAAGTGGAAGGATTACAGGCGTGAGCCACTGCACCAGGTCAGAAATCCAAGCTTCTTACCCGATCTGACAGGCTATGCCCCCGCCAAACCCAGGGACCTTGTGTCCTGGACCACAGGCTGTCACCTCCCTCCCAGCTCTCAGTTATTTGAACACACCAAGCTTTCTCCACCCACAGACCCTTTCCAAATGCTGTCCCAAGGCCTATTCCTCCCCATGGCTTCAGGCCCATTTTATTTTGATGGCTGACTGTGGGGTCCCCTATGCCTATAAGGGCAAGTCCACAGAGCAAAGGGACTTTCCTGTGCATGACATTTCAGATGAAAGGAAGCCAGCTCAAAAATGCCCAGTGCTTCTTGGAAAACGTAGGCCCAGTCCCAGTATGGTGATCAATTAAGGAACACGTTTGAGAAACATGGTTTCGAAAGGTTTAGGGAGACAGAAGGAAACTCCAGTTCAGGAACTAGTGGATCCAAGAGCAGTTTCATCAGGAAATCTGGCCCTTTTCTCTTGAAATACAAGAGTTCCTTCTAAACTTAAACTGAAATCAAATATGTTCTTGATGTGGTGTTTTTTTTTTTTTTTTTTTTAATTAGGCCAGCACAGTATATTAAGGAAGTTGGGATAAAAAATAAAACAAAGCTCAAAATAGTGGTTACCCTAGTGGGGAAGTGACAGAGAGAAGGCACTGGAGGCTTCTGGGGTGCTAGTTTTGTTGTTTCGTGGTCTGGATATAAGTTACTGATCTGTCACTGAGCATCTCTAGGTGAAATTTCAATAAAGTGTTCATCAGAAAGAATAGTGTCAGTCACAGAGTCAGGTGAAAGAAGATCAAGGAATAAGGGCTCTGTTTTGGGGGGTGATGGAAGTTGTCCTTCATCAGCTGTGTGACTGCACGAGCAGTTTCACCTCCCTGGGAATTAATGTCCTCATTTGTAAAATGAAGGGTTGTTCTAATCTAAAGATATGCAGAGATCTCACCCAGCGACAGAGATGTCTCATTCTGACATATAGACGCCTCTCTTAGGACAACTTGGGAAAAATGACATGTTTCCACCTTGTCGGACGTTAATTTGGGGCCACTCTTAGTCTACAGACTGTCAACACAGATACAAAAAGGAGTCCGTGAAATGCCTCACAAAAGGCTGTGTTCCAAGCCTGTGAAGTTACCTTGGGAAAACAGTTCAAAACCAGTGGCTCAGAGTTGCCCAGTCTACCACCAGTCACTTCCATTTGGAATGTATTTTCTGGGCAGTTTAGCCTCAGGGTTAATGGTTACATGACCTGAGCAGGGAGGAGATGCCTGCCTTTTCTGTGGATCAGAAAATCCTTAACTGATTGTTAACTGGTCTTCAAGTTCTTCCAGCTCCTTCCTTCTCAGAGTAGAGGAAGAAGAGAAGTATTTAGAAAAACCAAAAGGTACAACTGAAGGTGATTTTAGAAAAGATGGGGTCCAACCTTCTCCCAATACAGAGGAGGAAGGAGAAACACAGAGGGTGTTGGGAGGTCCCCAATCACCCAGTGCAACATTGGCTGCCCCAGAAGCCAAGTGAGATGGCATTCCTGACTTGTAAGCCACAGACCACATCTCTTGCTGAGAGACTTCAAGCACACAGACGGCAAGAAATTAAAAATTATTATTATTTTTTGAGACGGAGTTTTCCTCTTGTCACCCAAGCTGGAGTGCAGTGGTGTGATCTCAGCTCACTGCAACCTTCACTTCCTGGGTTCAAGTGATTCTCCTGCCTCAGCCTCCTGAGTAGTTGGGACTACAGGTGTGCACCACCACATATGGCTAATTTTTGTATTTTTAGTAGAGATGGGGTTTCACTATGTTGGCCAGGTTGGTCTCAAACTCCTGACTTCAGGTGATCCACCTGCCTCGGCCTCCCAAAGTGCTGGGATTACAGGTGTGAGCCACCGTATCCAGCCAAGAAATTAAAACAATTTTTAAGTAAATAGGCTGGGTGCAGTGGCTCACTCCTGTAATCCCAGCACTTTGGGAGGGCGAGGTGGGCAGATCACCTGAGGTCAGGAGTTCGAGACCAGCCTGGCCAACATGGCAAAACCCTGTCACTACTAAAAATACAAA